TAACAAGCATGACAATTTCAACTAATACGGGCTCAGTTGTACACACAGCTTGAAGGTGAGTCTGTGGTTCCTTAAAACTAAAATGATTATAAACCATTCCAATGAATGAGATCATGGTTCTATCCCTTCCAAATACAGTGACCCTTCAAGGTCAGAATACATAAGAGAAGAGAAGGATTCCAAGATGCAAAAAGCTCATTTTGTAAAACAGATAATTAAAACCATAGACCAAGCTACATTTTAAACAACTGAGCAGCTCTTCCTAAGGTAACCATAAGCATTGGTATGAAAATTAATGCACTAAGTAGAATTACAGTCACTTTAAGCTCATTTACATGATCAGTAAAATGGAGCAAGATCTTAGTTGCTTGAAAATGAAAAAATAAAAAATAAAAAGAAAAGAAAAGGTCAACTTGTGACCCATAATTTAGGAAATTATTCCATTTCTAAGGTAATCAGCCTGTCATCCAAATAATTCCCTGCTCACTCATTACAGGAAACGTTAATACAAGCCAAGTTGTCTATCTGAAGTTGCTATGGCATTTTGATATACAATAATTTGGCCCATGACCTTCAGTAGTTGAGTTTCCAAATGTACAAGATTTTTTCAAACATTTTCCCTAACATGATTGTTCATATTAAATAGATCACATAGAAATGCATTCCAGCCTATTCACTGTTCCCAAAGTTAAAATCTTATAAAGAAACCAAAATAAATTTCAAATCATTTTCACTTTTCCCAATGAAAAACATCTAGAACTAACAAGTAGGAAACACTCATTTAGCCTCAAAGAAACCTGGAGGTCTCGCATGTGGATACAATGTCAGAAACCAGAAATAAACTCATCAATCTGAGTTCTCAAAGACATATGTCTGCTTCTCTGTTATATATTTAAAATATATTCCAGCTTCAAAGAGGGGTTCTTTCAAGCCTTTCCTCACCACTGCGCACTGATGTGGTCCTCACCGCTCCATGGTTCTCACCCCATGCACACCCCTAGCCTACCTCTGCTATATGGTACCAAGTATTCCTTTATTATGATTATTTTTTATCAGTTCCACTGGAGAGTTCTGAGGGCATTTTTTCTTTTCGATCTTTGTTCTCCTGTACCAACCACAATGCCTGGGACATGGTAAGAACTCATTGAATTTGATGAATTAAATAATTAGTTAAAGAGTAAATGTCAAGATGCTAGTTTGGAATCCACATTCCCAGGCAAAGTCAAATGGCAAACACTGCTCCTAATGGCATGGTATGGAGAATGATAGGCTCAGGCAGGGCTGTGCCAGGTTGGAACTGTGTGCATGTGTGTTAACTATTTCCATATTCAGCTGCTATTTTCTTCTTCAGCTTGACACCATGCTCATTACTCTTTTCAGCCCTTTTGTGTAAATATACATAGTTAAGAATGTATTTATCACACATCACAAAAGAATTCTGCTTCAAGAAATGTAGTAGGAATGGATTGAGTCAATTATGCCAGACAATATAAGCAGATTAACATAATTCTGTCATGTTGCTACATGGGAATGACCCAATTTACGTGATCATCTAGGAAAATGAACTAAATACCTTAGAAAATGTCATTAATAGTAATATTGTTGCAGAAGACAATTAGAGATTTTCTAGGGAACTTGTTTTATAACCTCCCAGAGTTAGGCAAGAATTGATTTCCTGAGGAGCTTTTACACCTGTATGCTGATCCCCCGGTGCCAGTTGCCCCATCTTCCTCACCTGAACTAAGTTAAAGCCCTTCAAACTACACTTGACCCCTGAACACCACGAGTTTGAACTTTGAGAGTCCACTGATACACAGAGTTTCTTCCACCTCTGCCACCCTGAGACAAGACTTACCCCCGCTCCTTTCTCCTCCTCCCCTGCCTACTCAATCTGAAGACAATGGAGAAGATCTTTATGATGATCCACTTCTATTTAATGAAAGGGAAATGTATGTTCTCTTCTTTACGATTTTCTTAATAACATTTTCCTTCTAGTTTATATTACTGCAAGAACAGAGCCTATAATACATATAATGTACAGAGTATGTGTTAACCAACTGTCTATGTTATTGGTAAGGTTTCTGTTCAACAGTGGGATATTAGTGCAGAAGTTCTGGGGCATTCAGAAGCTGCATGGGGATTTCTGATTGAGTGTGTAAGGAGGAAGGGGGATGGTCCTCCAACCCCCATGTGGTTTAAGGGCCAACGGTAGTACTGCTTCTTCCATTTCTTCCTCTTTGCCTTTCCTCCACAAAATTAGTCTTCCTCAAACTCTAATTTGGTTACTAAATCCCTTAATGAGCAGCATTTATAGGTTTCTTGCTTTATGTAGAATAATATACTGTGAGTATTGGGTTTCAGGACCAAACAGGACCTCAGAGATTGTCTAGACTTTAGAACAGTGATTCTCAAAGTTGAACTTGTTTCAGAATGAATTGGAAGGCTTGTTAAAATACAGATTCCTAGGCCCCACCCATAGAGGTTTAGATCTAGTAGGGTTAACGCAGGGCCCAAGAATATGTATTTCTAACAAGTTTCTAGGTGATGCTAAAGGTGCTCTTCTGTGATCTTTGAGAAGCTCTGATCTTCAGCAGTAGCTAACAGGATCCAGCCTCTATAGTTAACCAGAGAGGTTCTACTTGCATCTGCTTTACATTTAGCTTCTTCTTAAACTTCCATTTCATCAAATGGTAACTGACATCCAATGATTTATTCCTTTTTTTTTTTTTGATGTAGAGTCTCATTCTGTCGCCCAGGCTGGAGGGCAGTGGTGCGATCTCGGCTCACTGCAACCTCTGCCTCCTGGGTTCAAGCAATTCTCCTGCCTCAGTCTCCCGAGTAGCCTGGATTACAGGCATGTGCCACCAGGACTGGATAATTTTTGTATTTTTAGTAGAGATGGGGTTTCATCATGTTGCCCAGGCTGGTCTCAAACACCTGGCCTCAAGTGATTCACCAACCTTGGCCTCCCAAAGTGCTGGGATTACAGGCGTAAGCCATTGTGCCTGGCCTGCAATCATTTATTCTAATCTTGGTTGAGACATAAGAAAACTGAGGCCAGGAGAGCCGGGCCACCTGGCTACTGGGCCAGTGTTCTTTCCTAGCACAATTTCTCTTCAAACTTTCGATCTAGCATTGAAGCCTCTTCCTACATTTCTACCTTTAATCTCCTCTTCCCTTCAACATAACCAACCTCTCAGTTCCACATCAGCTGGGTAGTTTACTTTTCCTCAAATAAAATGTTCCTTTTTTTTTTTTTTTTTTTTTGAGACAGAGTCTCACTGCAGTACTAACCTCCCAGGTTCAAGCAATCCTCTCAACTCAGCCTCCTGAGTAGCTGAGACCACAGGCATGTGCCACCATATCTGGGTAATTAAAGACAATTTTTTTTTTTTTTTGGTAGAGATGGGGTCTTCCTACGTTGCCCAGCTGGTCTCAAACTCCTGGGCTCAAGCAATGCTCCTGCCTTCGCCTCCCAAAGTGTTGGGGTGATGGTATGAGCCACCATGCCTGGCCTCCAGCCTTTTATAACACCATTCTTCCTTCTGTCCTACTCTTCCAAGTATCTAGTAAATTATATTCCCAACACTTTGTCTGAACTGAACTCGTCAACTTTATGGACACTAATCTCTGCTTTACTTCTGTAACTTACATGCAAAGATGGTGTGCCTTAGACCTCAACATCGTCTGAACTATCACCTCTACTTCCAAGATCCTAGAGTCCAAAACATATACTGTTTTGACCACAACCTCTTAGGCTTGAGAACCCCTAGATCCTGAGCCCTCTTGCACACTGCTAGGCTGTGAGGCTAATCTTTCCTTGAGCTATACTTGCTACCCCACCTGGACCACACGATGCTTCCCCAGTGTCCTTGCTAGGACTCCGACACCTGCCCTGGCTTTCTGCCATGTCTATCTTCCAACCCCCACTATAGAATGAATCCACAAATTTATTCCTTCTATTCCCAGTCCTCTAAGCATTGCTGGTTAGCTCAAATTACCATGCTAACTGGACTTCCTAATAACCCATGCTAGAGTGTCCTAACTTAAGCAGCTTATTTATTCACCTCTAACAGACTCACTCTCAACTCTCCCAAAGAGATTCTTCAAACTCCCCTTCATCTCAAAAAATCTGCCCCGACACCTCCACTCTCAGAAGTGCTGTCATCTCTAGGGTGAAACACAGGATCAGAACACAGTTCTGGCATTGGGAAAGCCATTTGAAGTTGTTTCACTCTGGTGGCTATGTGGAGGATGAACTGGAATAAGATGGATTCAACAAATACACAAGGGGGATGCAAGAGATTAGAGTACTAGATCTGGCAGAGTGGCTCACACCTGTAATCCTGACACTTTGGGAGGCTGAGGAACCAGGATCACTTGAGCCTAGGAGTTGAGACCAGCCTGGGCAACATAGTGAGACCTGGTCTCTACAAAAAGCTAAAAAATTAACCAAGTGTGGTGGCACTTGCCTGTAGTCCAGCTACTCTGGTGGCTGAGGTAGGAGGACTGCCTAAGCCTAGGAGTTCGGGGCTGCAGTGAGCTATGATCACACCACTGCACTCCAGCCTGTGTGACAAAGCAAGACCTCATCTCTTAAAAAAAAAAAATGACTCAACACTGTACTTTGTACATTATAGGCACAATGGAGAAGTGTTGAACAAATTAATTTTGGCTCTGATTCTGAGAATATGTATCTATAGAAAAATAGTTACTAAATTTTAAAAAATGCTCAGTTGAGAGTGAGAATACTTTTGTTATGTCTTGTCATAAGGCTAGTGAAACCTATTATGCAACGGACAGATGGTGGAACAAGATATAAAATGAAATTAGCAATGATGAAACCCATATGGAAATGAGGAAAAGGTCAATATGTTAAAGGCCAAAGGAATTTGACTCCATCTTGTCTCATTTCATAGAGCATTGAGGTCATAGTTTACTGGCCTTTGCTGTAGGGAAGTTGTAGGATCATTCACTGTGCTGAAAAACCAATTACTTACCCAGGGTTGCTCAAAGCTGTAGGTCCGTCGACGATCTTCTACATCTTCATCCTGCTTTGCTTGCTGAAATTCTTGCCTCAGACGCTGTATCCGATCATGATTGCTAGGAGTTGATCTGTTACTGAAAGAAAGATGAGGCAGCAGTGAATACCCTTCAGAAATATTATCTGTGAACTGCAGTTGCTAGCAAAACATGGCAACTTGCTATGAAATAATGCCATTTAAGAGAAAGTGAATTTTTAAAACAATATGTGGGCATTTAAAATATGTTTTCATTTTGGTTTTAGGATTAAGGCTTATTGAGGTATTTTAGATATTCAAGAGGGTAAGCAGTATTTTTAGATATTCTTTTTTTTCACTGTTCTTTAAAAGCTTCATTTCCTTTCTGTAATCTAGCAAGGTGTTGGCAGGGAAGTTTTTTTTGGAAAGGACGTTGCATTAAAAGTCAGAAACAACAGGGTCTGGTCCTAGTTTCTGTACCTTCTTAGACTAACGTACTTAATGTTTCTAAGCTGAAGTTTTTTAAATATATGAAGTACAGATAATAATTTTACTCTAAATATCTGAGTTGTAATAATCAAGTGATAGGACACCATGAAATATAGCTGCAGAAATGTACAGCAATATTTTCATAATATGAGGTTCCTATTTACAAGTTATCAGAGATCTATAAATAAATGCAATCCTCACAGCAAAAATGAACAGCATTTTATTTTATTTATTTTATTTTTTTATTTTTGGATAGCTTTCTATTTTTTTTTCTTTTATTATACTTTAAGTTCTAGGGTACATGTGGATAACGTGCAGGTTTGTTACATATGTATACTTGTGCCATGTTGGTGTGCTGCACCCATCGACTTGTCAGCACCCATCAACTCGTCATTTACATCAGGTATAACTACCAATGCAATCCCTCCCCCCTCCCCCCTCCCCATGATAGGCCCCAGTGTATGATGTTCCCCTTCCCGAGTCCAAGTGATCTCATTGATGAACAGCATTTTAAAAATAAGTTCAAGTGGTAGTTTGATTTAACCAGTTAGTTAATAACAATATGGGCTTCTTTTTGTATAGTATTGAATTTTGTTTTATTCTCAGAAAGACCTTAAAAGATCGGTGCAGAAGGTAGTATTTCATACACCTACCCACCCACCCACCTACACACACATTTACAAATGTAGTAACTGACATTTAAAGAAGATAAGTGGTTTGTTTGGGGATCTCCCAGCTGGCCAGTGGGGAAAGTGAGACCAAATTCCAGATTTTCTGGCTCTCAGTCCAACACTCATTTCACTATGCCATGCATATCACTTTTTAAAACATGTATCAGGCTCCAAAGCTCTTCATGTGTAAAATACAAATTTTAAAAAGAGTGTTTTCACAAGAGTAACAGAGATTGATGACCAAAATTAAATCCATCATAAATCTCACAGCACTTTTGGTCTATGCCATTCACTAAAGCAGTAAGTTTCATCCTATCAGTGATATGAACGGGAGACAGGGAAGTACTGGGTGGGAGAGGGTGGTTCCTTGGCAAAGGTCCCACCCTCAAAAGTCTGGAAACCCATAACCCTAAATGGGAACAGGTATTCCTGTTTTTGCACCCAAAAGTTGCCTTTTTGGCCCACCATGCCCCCCTATCCTGTACCCATATCCTGTACCTGCAAAGCCCAGGCTCCATGAACAGACAAACAGAAGGGTAGAAGAGTGGCAGAACGGTGCAAGGAGAAGGAGAGATGAGAAGGAACATCTAAACGTCAAGAGGAGTTTGGCTGGGGATGGCTGGAAAGGAGATTGGGCCACTGGACGGCCAAACTCCAGTTGAAGATCATCTTCCCACCCCATCCCCTTTCCAGCTTCCCATCCATCCCACTGAGAGCCACCTCCATCACCCAATAAAATCCCCACATTTGCCATCTTTCAAGACCGTGTGTGACCTGATTCTTCCTAGATGCCGGACAAGGGCCTGGCTACCAAGGGGGGCACTGAGCTGGTTAACACTTAAGCCATCTGCAGATGGGGGAGCTAAATGAGCACTGTAACACGCCCACTGGAGCTTCAGGAGTTGCAGGCACCCACACCTAGACATTACCGTGGGGATGGAGCCCCAGCTCCGGTACCTGCGCATCTGCGTGCTCCCCCTCCCCTAAGGGGTCTGGGCACGCACAGCAGTCGAATAGACGAGCCTCTGTTGCATGTCCTGTGAGGGGAATCAGGGAACTCTCTTGTTTCATCAGGAAAACTATTCAAGCCCATCAGGCATCTATGTCTCCACAACAGAACGTCAGACTTCTTGAGGACAAGAACCACATCTTCTCCTTATCATATATACCCTCCAAGCTGCTAGCAGAATGGAAAGCTGCAAAGCTATTAGGAAGACCAGGTCTCTTCACAAAAGCATGTTGCCCTGGTTACTCAGTGTGTGCCAGGGTTCTGTTGGCTGCACCCCTCCTGGATGATATGATTTGCGAGAGGTAGCTTGGAAAGAGAAATTCTGTCACAGTAGACTACATAAAATTCTCAAACGGACGTAAGTCTATGTGTAATACCACATATTTTGAAGAATCTCAGAGGTTCAAGAATTTCAGATTGAACATGTTCATGTACAGGCTCATCATGTTAACATCTCCTAAAAATATGGAATAGCCTTGCATCATTTAACATATCGGGAGGGGTCCCTGTACCTTCATGTATCAATTTCACTAGCGTGTCTAGAATATACTGTCAATACATTCAATGTGATTATTTTCTCAGTCAATAAAAGCTTGTCTTTCTTTGCTTTTCTTCTAACAAATCTGAACTGATTGGTCTGGAACATTAAAGGTGAACAGGTCTGTAAATTGGGCTGTCTGATGATATGAGGCTTCAGTCCACGTCACTTCAAAATGTCCCTCCGCACTTTTGAGACAGGCAGGTTGTTATTCCCACTGGTTTAAAAAAATATATATATATCCTATATTGTTGAACTGTCTAATCTAAAACACACTCTGCTCTCTATGTGAAACCACAATAGTGTAGGCATGAATGAGGATGGTTACCTTCATAACACAAAAGAGATAGGAAAGTGGGCATTCCTGAATCTCACTGCCATTTTTCCACCTGTGCTTTTTTGTTTCTGGCATACTTTATAGCTTTTATGGGAGGATTATAGAAGGTTTGACTGACAAAGTATTTTACAAATCTAACCAGAAGTATTCTTCTATTATTTTCATGCAGCATAGAGAGTTTTAAGTCCATAATTATTAGGATCATGAAGTCCAAACCATTGATAAAAACTGATCTCCTACTATTTGCAATTAGCTGAAAGTCTGTTTTCCCGACAAAGGGAGTTGACCCAATATCCTCAATGTTAAATTCTGCTGACATTGGTGTTTTTCACAGCAAAAGATAAGTTCTGGAAGTCACCTCTGCCTTTGTTTCCAAATCTGGGGAGCTAGGCAGACCTTTGGTTTCACCCTCTTTTCCTCTGCTCTTTCTCTTCCAATACTCTAGAGAAAGCTGGCTGACTTGTCTAAGACTAGCAAAACCACTTTAATGTCTGAAGTTGGAAAACAGGCTGCGATGGTTTTCATGACTGATGATGATTTCCAAAGACTGGAAGACCGTCAAGCCCCCTTGGGGAACAACAATTGGCCGTCTGAAGGTGAAATTCTGGCTTTGAGAGATGAAACCACTGCAACTGCTCAGTTCTGTCTCTCAGGCCAGTCTATAATGAGCCAATAATTCCAATTTGGACTTTTAAAGTTCTTGGTGAGCTCTTCTGCCAAGAAAGCTAAAGGAAATTTGAAATATTCATTAGCAATAGTGACTCATCGCTACACATCCTAATCAACTTATATTTAGGTTCAGTGCCAACTTAAAGTTGGTCATTATTTTTTTGTGTGAGAAATATAATAAAAATACTATCCGAGTTGATCAGATGGGTGAGACAATAAAACCCTTAATGAAGAGTCAGAAATCATAGTTTACAGATAGTCCACATGAGTGGCATCTACACCGGGATGCTGAGAGGAACAGAGAGATACTTTCTGTATAAAACATCCACACAGACAGCTAAAAGACAGTTTTAGTCCAATACCAACACTCAGCCTCTGCCAACACATTGGCTTTGTACCTAACTGGAACTTACTTTCATGTTTTAACTAAATGAAGAGGGTTTGCTTTTGGTTCAGTAATGATCTGGGCTTTGGTTTTTGTTGTTTTTTCCTGACAGGTTTAAGGAAGGTACGGTACCTGGGATCACACACTACAGAGATTCCTAGCCCAGCGTGCACAGAACAATGTGACCCTGAATTTTATGCAAGATCCATAATTACTATGGGGATTGCAGTCTTTGATGTCAGAGGCAGACCATGCGGCATACAAGGCTTTTACATCTTCAGATTGGATACTACCATGTGCTTCCTGAATGTGGCTAAGGATACCCATTCAGGCTAAAAGGAGCAATGAGCCTATCTGCAGGGAAGCACTGAAGCCTGCCCTGCACCTGTGCCCCACAGGCATGCCAACTCAACCATTTCCTTAGGTACGATGAGAGGGAACAGAAACCTCACAACAGCGGTTCTCATCTACACGCACTGTGTAGATGAGAACCATTCAGAGAGCCGGTTAAAAAATACTGATGGCCAAGGCTTGCCTTGAGAAATTCTGAGTCAGTCTAGTGCAGGGTCCAATCATTTATACGTATACGAATTCAGAACGTACTATAGGTATACAGACAGCACTCTGAAGATAATGCCCACAGTTAGTAGACTGCTGCCATGAAGGGATGCTGGCCTGGTGTTGCTTCTTTAAGAGAAGCTGGAAAGACAGTTTTCTCTCCCAAATTTAAAATGTTCACTTACTTTACTTTTTAAATTCTAGGTAAGCCAAATAACGATTTTGTCCATTGGTGGCTAGCCTGTAACCACTGGTTCACATTCTGCAGACATTGCCTGTTTTATGTGTCGCTTCTGCAGGCTATTTACTTTCATTGCACCAAAATAATAAGGCAGGTGGTCCTCTAGTAACAGTCCCCCAAAATACTGATAACCAGGCACTGTCCAGATAGTCTTGTTTCTCCTAAACTGTCCCCACTTTCTGAGCTGCCTAAGCCTGAACCTGGATATCCTTCCTTGCAGGCCT